CCCCAAAACCCCAAAACCCCAAAACCCCAAAACCCCTCAATTATTTATAGAATTGAATTTTGATTTAGTAACCTCCCATTCCTGCATCATTATTCATCGTTTCTATAATACTTTCTTTCTCAGCAACGATTGTTTTCAGTCTAGCAATTTCACGAGCATGACCTGCAGAACTTGAGGTGAGCTCTTCTTGCATAGCTTCACATCTAGCCTCTGCTTTTTGGAGTTTGACTTCGTACTCAACCTTCTCATCTTCCCAGTCAGCTTGTCCAGCAGTTTGTGGTCTTTTGTTCTTCAGTTCATCTCTTAGCTCTGAGACGAGAGTTTCTAACATCTGAACTTCACTTTTAAGCCTGTCTACTTCAGATTGATTCCCTCTTAATTTTGCATTGGACTTTATGCCTTTCTGGAGCTCTAGATTTTCGGTTCTGAGCTTTTCAAGTTCCATCATTCCTTCTCTGGCTCTCTTGGTGTCCTTCAGTGTCTTCTCAAGTAAGGCTTCTAGTTTGGAGATGACCTTCTCTTGTTTTCTGATAGTGTCCTTGTACAGGTTAATTTTGGCGATCTCCTTGTTCAACTCCATTAACTTCTTGGCTTTTTGAGTATGAGCATGAGAGACATTCTCAAGCTCAGTCTGTAACTGCTTTGCATTTGCCAGATCTTGGTTAGCTGATTTGAGAGCTCTCTCAAATTCCTCATTTCTGATCCTCTCAGTACGATATGCTTGTGCTAGCTTCAGGATTTTGTTACGGAGTTCTGTAGAGTCCATGTTTTGAATTTCTTTGGAAACTAGGATCTGAAGCTCAAGCTGCTCTTCCTGTCCTAATTTCTTCCTTAAAATTGCATTTTCAGACTGTAACATTTTGACTGTTCTTCTTAAATCAATAATTTCAGCTGAGGTGAGTTTCAAAGACTGGGTTTTATCATCCATTTCTTTCATCATTCGGTGGATAATTTCCTGCTTTTGGGCTAACTCTCTTGAAAGAAGTTGCCATTTTTCCTTATCGCCTGCTGAACCGCCAGGGGCATGGTCAAGCATGCGGTTGAGTTCTCCGCCGACATCACCAAGGTCTGATCCTTTCTCAAAATCATCTCCTCCTTCTAGAGGGTATCAAGCCAGCTCTAAGTAAGTTCTGCTGCCTTGCATATCAGGCACAGAGCTGTTATAAGTCACTTCAAAGAACTGTTTGGGGTTTCCAGGAGAAAATAGAATTTGTTTCAATGGTTCATCCAAGACATCGGTAAATCCTGCGAAGACATTTGGCATTGCATGGATGGTGGGGGCTGACTCATCCTTCACTACCAAGAACATTGATATCTTATTATCCAAGAAAGATTTTGGAATTGTAAACATTGTCAATGCATTGTAGATGTTGTCCATTGGATCTGGAGGAATCCTCATCCATGGAGACATAAATGCAGTATATTTTAATGAATTTGCAAATTGGAAAGCCTTCTCTAATCCTTCTGGCTGTGAGAGATCTACCTTAATGTAAGGACTTTCAGTAGGAGCATGGGATTCAGTGGTCATCATCACAGAAAACTTTTTATAGTTAGCTGGCACAGGCTTAAAATCTGCCCAAGAAAGTACAACTTTACATAAGGAATCAACTGTGCTTGTAATTGGTCTCTCAAGTACGAATGAACAATAAAATTTACAGACAGTGTCATCTCCTCTGCTCCTACAATGAACTTCTAAGTGAACTGGCGTGAAAGGGTTGAAAAATTCAAGAGGAATACAAAATTTATCAATTGGCTCCAGAGAATTCTTGTCTTTTAATGTTACCCATAAATAACCACTGAGGTCTATCACTTCAGCAGGATTATTGAATAAAAGTTGTTGATTCCAATGAGGATGCCTATTATTTTCTACTAACAATGAAATAATCTTAGTATATTCATCTGGCTCCGTTTGTTCATACATACTCCACCCAATCTCAACATATCCTGAAGGCAAACCTTCTGGAGTCACTCTATTTAGGGGGAAATCAATGGATGACCTAATATCTGCCCTGATTCTCCACTTAAAACTGGAATCTTCCGGTGGTAATAGATGCATTTCTCCTGTTGCTTTCTTAGGACCTGTCAAATTAGTGCCCTCAAGTCCAGGGTATTGAGTCATATACTCTCCGACTAACTTAAGGAGCACTGTAAATCTTCCGACTGTTACTTCAGATCCCTCTTTAGACCTGGAAAACTCAAGTGCTCTTCTTACCCCAATACCATGAATATCAGTGAGTGAAGGAATGAGTGGGCCGAGTTCCAGAACACAATCTCCAAGAAGCCTTGCTTGACCCTTCTTCTCATAATCTGCTGCGTTCTCTTTCCTATCAGTTACGGTAAAGCATGCAAATTGGATCCTTGGGTCATCGATCATCTCCTCAGGCGTTATAGGCAAGTAGAAGGTATTTGCAGAGAAGATAGGATTCGTGACTGCTGCAGATACATCAGTTCTTCGTTTCTCTCCATCTCCTCCTAGCTGAACAGTAAGAAAGTAGTTAAATTCTTTAGCAAACTCTGCAGATTCAATCGTCACCTGAAGACTTTTCTTTGAAGACTCCATTTAAATATTACAATTATTGCAATCGTGCAGGGGTTTTGGGGTTTTGGGGTTTTGGGGTTTTGGGGTTTTGGGGTTTTGGGG